GGATGGATGGATGGATGGATGGATGGATGGATAGATAGATAGATAGATAGATAGATAGATAGATAGATAGCTTTAATGTTTTAGTAAGTGTTAGCAAGTGTTAGCATTATTTAACAGTAATTCTACATTTTAAATGCTAATCTCTTATTAAATGCTAAAGTAATCACATATTACAGAGATAGATAGGTGTGGTGTAGATAGATACATACATAGATAGCTAGCTGGGAAGGCTGGAGAAGGTTACTGAAAAATTTCTGTACAGTGGCCTTCATAATCCGTTAGGGGAAGATGTTTGGAACCACCAGGGCTCTTCCTAGAGCAGGCTGTTCATCTGAGTGATCGGGGGAGAAGGGCCTTAATTAGGAAGGTGACGATGGTTACTCTGTCTGAGCTCCAGCATTCTTCTGTGGAGAAAGGAAAACTTTATAGGACAACCATCTGTGCAGCAATCCATCAATCAGGCCTGTATGGTAAAGTGGCCAGACGGAAGCCAAAAGGCATCTTTTGCTGTGGGGATGTTTTTTCAGCAGCAGGAACTAGAAGACTAGGATAGAGGGAAAGATGAATGCAGCCATGTACAGAGACATCCTGAATGAAAACCTGCTTCAGAGTGCTCTTGACCTTACACTCGACAATTCACCTGTGACCCAAAACACACCGCCAAAATATCAATGGAGCGGCTTCACAACAACTCGGTGAATGTTTTTGAGTGGCCCAGCTGGAGGCCAGGCCTAAATCCAATTAAACATCTCTGGAGAGATCCGAAAATGGCTGTACACCGTAACTTCCATCCAACCTTGAGAGGTACTGCAAAGATGAATGGGCAGAAATTCCCAAAGACAGGTGTGCCAAGCATGTGGCATCATATTCAAAAAGACTTGAGGCTGTAATTGCTGCCAAACGTGCATTAACAAAGTATTGAGCAAAGGCTGTGAATACTTCTGTACACCTGATTTGAGGATTTTTATTTTTAATAAAATTGCAACAATTTCAAAACACTTTTTTCACATTGTCATTATGGGGTATTGTGTGTAGAATTTTCAGGAAATAAGTAAATTTAATCCATTTTGAAATAAGGCTGTAACATAAAAAATCGAAAAAGTTAAGTGCTATGAATACTTTCCAGATGCACTGTATTTTGAAAAATGTTGGAAACCTGTAACAATTTCTTTTCACACTGTAAAAAATACTGGTTTCTGCAAAATTCTTTCATAATGCCCCAAGACAAATAGATTAAGTTAACCTAATCAATTAAAACATTTTTAAGTGGATTGAACTTAAAACAATTAAGTCATCCCACCAAAAAACTTAAGAATTGTGTTGTTTCAACTCATTTTAAATAAAAAGTTTGATCAAGAAGCAAAAGTTATGAAATAAAAACAATACAATGGAAGTCAATGGTTACAGGTTTACATTCTACAAAATATAATATTTTGTGTTCAACATAATTAAAAAAAAATTCTAACATCCGCAACTGAAAATAATATAGATATTTTTTTCTGAAACTCATCAAAAATGTTATCAGCACAAACCAACACCACAAGTGTCCGCTGACGTGCATTTACATACACGCTCCGACAGCCACACTCTGCAGCCTCATTGAGCTGTCAGTTGCCTTGTAAAAAGCAATCGTCACCTTCAGAAACCTCAAGACAGGCCTTACCAGCTTTGCGAGAAGTAGCAGGTCACACAGAAACTGTCAAGTCAAAACTAGAAAAGTTTGCATCAACCTGCAACCTTGAAATGTTCCGAAACAATCATGACCGTAATCTTAAATGAGTTCACTGGAAAAACAATTATTTTGACGTATTTTTGTAGATCATTTAATCAAAATATATGGAACAGAGCTCTCTGGACTTTCTTTATCGCCACCGAATGAGATAAGTGCGTGTGGTTCAGTGCCATAAAACACGGAGCTGCAATAAATCTCTATAGTAACCAGCAGTGCAAATTTCAAAAGCCACTAAATGTCCTTCCTGTTTTCTTGCTCCTCCCTTAATTGCGTCAGTTTTCATTATAATTTACAGTACACTAAATATTCTGATATCTGACTCCTCAATAATGATTATCTATGTATAATTAGTTTATTATACATACGTTATTATTAGATTTTGTAATTGCATTTATTATAGGGTCATTTTAAAAAAAGTGTTTCAGGCCTTTATACATTGTGTTACATGGATTTGTAGATTAAATATGCAAAATGTTCTTTAAATATATAATGTACTTTCTGAAAGAAAGAAATGTTTGTCAGACCTGTTTATTTACTTTGCAATACTGCCACCCTGAGACGAAAACTAAGCTACAGGAAAGCCTAATCAAGACCCAAACACTTGGAAGAAAGAAAATAAAAGGTAAAGCCTGTGGTATGGTTATCATGATATTATTGTTGTAATTTTTTTAGTTTTATGTGTTTCTGGTGTGGATGGCAAAATATAGGTTATAAAAGATTTCAAGTGCTTAATTAAAAGTTAATAAATAAATACAATTACCATTAAATAAATAACCTGACTATATGCTTTAATATATGATTTTTCAAATATTTCACAGTATTATTTCAGCTTTTCTGCTTCAAAATTTCACATTTAATGTGATGCATTATTGCTTGTGAAATTCCTAGCAATTTCTGAGTTTAAACGTTTCATTCATTCATTTTCTTTTCTGCTTAGTCCCTTTTTTAATCTGGGTTCGCCACAGCGGAATGAACCGCCAACTTATCCAGCTTATGTTTTACGCAGCGGATGCCCTTCCAGCAGCAATCCATGGGAAACATACACTCTCACATTCACACACATACACTAAGGACAATTTAGCTCGCCCAATTCACCTATACAGCACATGTCTTGTGCAGAAAACTAAAGCACCCGGAGGAAACCCACATGAACACGAGGAGAACATGCAAACTCCCCACAGATATGCCAAGTGACCCAGCCAAGGCTCGAACCAGAGACCTTCTTGCTGTGAGGCAACATCACCGCCTGTTTTAAAATATAACTTTAAAAAACATTTTACAGTATTATTTTAGTTTTCTACTTTAAAATTTCACATTTAATGTAATACGCTTTTAAAATTTATTAGCAATTTCTGAGTGTAAATGATATCTACAACAAGTATTGTTCAGTTAACAATAATAATAATAAGTATTCAGTCACTGCTTTATATGTATGCTTATTAATCGATGTTAATGCTCTGTTCTTGCTGTTTTTATGTTCAAGTGTGTTTGATTTAAATAGTGGTACCTCATATTTGACAGTAACTAATGAACATTTTAATCTGTTCATTAAAAAAAAAAAAAAACAATCATGACAGATGACGGAATTCATGCAGAAAAACTATATTACCCATGATGCTGTTAGACAAATCTACCAATAAGGGACTTCAAGCCACCCACTCCCAACAAGCATTGTACAACGATAGAGTCGGTTTCGCTTAAATATTCCTGAATTTGCAAATTTTGCAATAAAGTTCATATATATATATATATAAATTCCATAATTATTTGGACATCAACACAATTCTACAATTTTTGACTCTATACACCAACACAATGGACTTGAAATGAAACGAACAAGATGTACTTATACTGCAGACTCTCAGCTTTAATGTGAGGGTATTTACATCCAAATCAGGTGAACGCTGTAGGAATTACAACAGTTTGCATGTGTGCCTCCCACTTGTTAAGGGTCCAAAGGTAATTAAGCAGAATAATAATCATAAATTAAGCTTTCACTTTTTAATACTTGGTTGCAAATCCTTTGACATCAGACGTTGGGTTTCATTCCTGGTGGTGCTCTGCCAGGACTCTACAGCAACTGTCTTCAGTTCCTGCTTGTTCTTGGGGCATTTTCCCTTCAGCTTTGCCTTCAAAAAGTAAAATGCATGCTTAATCGGATTCAGTCAGGTGATTGACAAGGCCATTGCATAACATTCAACTTCTTTGCCTTCAAAACCTATTTGATTGCTTTTCCAGCATTCAAATGCTTTTTCTGGGTCATTCTCCATCTGCACTGTGAAGCACCATCCAATGAGTTCTAAAGCATTTGGTTAATATGAGCAAAAAATATTGCCTGAAACACTTCAGAATTCATCCTGCTGCTTTTTTCAGCAGTCAAATCATAAATAAATACAAAAGAACCAGTTCATAGCTTATAACAAGAAAACCATTTATTTGAATAGGAAACTAATTTAGAAAAATGAGACGGGCTCTACCCTACTCATATATACAGGCAATCATATAAGATCTATTGAATCTTATTATACACATCACATTATGTGAATATAATCTAAATTACAGAAAATGTCAATCTGACCTGCAACAATTTCTAGTGAACTAGAATGCTGGTGTTACCTCTTTTTTCCTGTTAGACCTTTAAGTATGTTAAGTAACATGTTATACTATTGTAATAACCAGCATTTTCGTTGGCATTATCATTTTAAACCCAAGCTTTACTACAAAAACTATAGATAACTGGTCAGCGAAGAAAAAACAATACAAAAACACATTTGTATCCTACTAAAACCATAATAGTCATCAGAGTGAAAAACTAGCATTAAAAGTTATAAAAAACGTCTTTCTGAGCAATAACTCGAGTTAAATTAAAACATAGGAAATCTTTGACTTATCAAGTCACGTCTCACAGAACCATAAAACGCTATTGACAATATCTGAGTCGCACCCAGTGTGCAAACACAACGACCGGCTTATGTCACCAACAACGCCCACAAAGAGGAAGTGCACCCAGCAAGTATCGATAGCTAACGTTACGTGAGAACTCAACTTTTCACATCATTTAAAATTAATACAAAACATAAACACAAAACGTGAAACCTAAACTATGACAAAACGACACAAACACAAAAGGAGCATCGTTTTGTCAGTACACAGTACCGCGGCGCGCGCGCAACAGGTGCTTGAACAGGACGTAAATGCGTCATGAATTATTCATGAGCAGGCTGGGTATGAACTCTGCTCAAAGCTAAAGTTGAAAGTCAGTAGTTGTAGTCCACGAGCGCTGGGGTCCACCTGCGTGCCTGCTGTTCTCTCTCCTCTTGTGGACACCCCTAAATGAGTACCAAAATGTCGCCCTCGTTGTCCCCTCGTTTCTTTTCCGAAAAGGAGGTAGCCAAACATTGCACCAAGGATTCGTGCTGGGTGTTGTTAGGGACGCGCGTCTACGATGTGACGGCGTTCCTGCGGATGCACCCCGGCGGAGAGGCGCTCATCCTCCGCCGCTCGGGGAAGGACATCAGCCTGGAGATCGAGGGACCCCCGCACCGGCACTCGGAGAACGCCCGGAGGTGGATGGAGCAGTACTACATCGGGGAACTCGACAGAGACAGCACGGATGAAGACACGGAGGAGGTGAGTCCTGAAGTAACAAGATAAAGTCGCTCGAATTATCACAAGCATCGTTGTTTTGAGGAAGTTTAACTTTACGAGAGGTCACATCTTAAGACGGCAATGATTCGTTCAGGAAATGCATTGCTCCACATAAACAGAGCAAGAAAGGTGATTTCTTCTGAAGGGAATACATTTTTTGGTACTTTTTTAAAGTGCTGTCAGATTTATGTTAGAAACTTTATTCTTTTAAAGAGACCCAAATATGTAAATTGTCATCAATTAATCACCATTTACTTATTTCAAACCGTTATCAGTTCGTTTCTTCTGTTAAACACAAAGGAACATATTTTGAAAAAACGTTGGGAACCTGTAACCACTGACTTCCATAGTATTTGTTTTCCTACTATGGAAGTCAATGGTTACCGGTTTTTCAGCTTTCTTCAGGATATCTTTTGTTTTCAGCTGAAGAAAGAAACTTATATTAGAAGCACTTGAGGATGAGTAAATAGTGAGTACATTTATATTTTTAGGTGAAATATCTGAATTTGTGGTACTTGTTTGTTCATGATTCGGGCCTGTTTGAGCAGTACTCAAGTCACTAACTCACTGAATCAATAAATTAAATATTGACTTAATTTTTTCATCTTTATTAAAATATATAAAAAAATAATCAGATGATCATATAAAAATAATCATATGAATCACATGTATTTACTAATTTTAATCCTCCGTTTGAAAAAATATATTTAGTGTGAATTAGTTATTATTTTGGTTCTAAATGACTAAATAAAGGCAAAAATGCCAATCATTAAATCATGATAAACTTTATTATTTATTTAGCCATGTCAGGGAAATATGCTTGTACTTTGTTTTATGTTTTATTTCTGGCATAAGTCACATGCAGTGTTATATATTTCCCCCAGTAAATAGAAAAATAAGCTAGTGTTGTCTGAAAATAATTTAACAAAAATTTAAATCGTAGTATTTCATCATTATTATTATTATTGTTATTATTTCTGTGCATATTAACTACAGCAATATACACAGTAAAAAATAACTACTACATTTTCTGTTAAATGAACCATGTTCTAAAATTGATCTTAAAGGTTTAGATCACCCACAAATTTTATCATTTTAACCATTTTTCATGTGATTTAAGGCATTTATGAGCTTTTTTCTTAAAAAAAGAAAAAAAAAAAAAAAGAAAAATTGAGGAATGCTGGTTGCTGGAATCCATCAACTCCCATAGTAGGAAAAGAAAAGAATATGAAAGTCAATGAGTGCAGCAACCAGCATTTTCCAAAATATTCTCTGTGTTCATCAAAAGATAGAAACTCAAATAGGTTTTGAACAAGTGAAGAATGAGTAAACGATTAAGAAAAGTTTTATTTTTGGGTGAACTATCCCTTTAATTAAGAATTGATTGATTAAGAGTACATTTTAACATGCAGGACAAAAAATGAACTGCAATTTTATATGTAAAAATATAATATACAAAAAGTGTACTGGTAATTTAATTTACTTAACTGCTTTTTTTAAACAATACTGTGCATAACTACCGCGATATACTCAGTAAAAATCACTAGTACATTTTTTTATGAATAAATAAATCATGATTTAAAATTGCTCTTAAAGGTTTAGATCACCCAAAAATGTAAATTATTTAACCTCTCTCTCTCTCTCGTGGTTTTAAACCTTTATGAGCTTCTTTCTTCTTTTAAACACACCAAAAAAGAAAAAGTTTGATGAATGCTGGTTGCTGGAACCCATCGACTTCCATAGTAAGAAAAGAAAGGTCTATGAAAGTCAATGAGTGCAGCAACCAGCATTTTTCTTAATATCCTCTGCGTTCAACAAAAGATATAAACTCAAATAGGTTTTGAAAAAGTGAAGAATGAATGAACGATTCAGAAAAGTAAAATTTTTGGGTGAACTATCCTTCTAATTATGTATTGATTGATTAGGAGTACATTTAAAAGGAAAAAAATGAAATGCAGTTTTTTATACAGTGCTCAGCATAATCGAGTACACCCTATTTTGAAAATGAATGTTTTTATCCATTTCTCAGTGAATATATAGGCAATATATTTTGGTGCATTTAAACAAAACAGATTTCTTAAACAGATAATTCAGCCTAATTTCACAAGGAAACTTAAGTATTTTACGTTTTGTCAGTTTAAAGGCTAATTCGTACAAAAATGTAAGATTTTAAAAAAGGTGGCACCCCCACCTCTAACTGTCATCGATTGATGAGCAAATCGTACTAAATTGTATGAATTAGATTAGAAATTAGCCAATAAATCAAAAAGTTAAAAAATGCTGTGAGATTGCGTTGGATATTTTTAATCAAATAATATTTTAGTGACCAAACATATTTAGAGATTAAAAGATAATACAATTAAATTAAAGCAAAATATTGCAAATAAAAAAATTAAAACCTACAAAATTCAACTAAATTAACAAAGTTTTTTGCTTCTCTTGATTTTTCCTTTTCTTAAAATTGTATTTAATATTTTTCTGACATAAATTTAAGTGTACTTGTTTTTGACCTTTATCGTAAATTATTTTGTTAGATAAGTTCCAGCACTGACTAATCTATATGTATATACACAATATTGTATAGCTAAGAATTTAAAAGGCTAGATTTGTGAGGTGTGTACTTATAAATACTAAGCACTGTATATATAAAATGTACAGTAAGTTTACTGGTAATTTTATTTTATTATATATATATTTTTTGCAGTTATAATATTAAATACCAGCACATGTAAAGATGTTTGAAGAGAAGTAAATAATGTGTGAATGCATTCTTAGGAAATTGTACCAGTAAAATAGTCAGCAATTGCCATGAGATTATGTTGCATAAATCACATGACACGTCGTTGTGTCGGAGAACATGCGATAAAAGCGATTCTTATCACACTGAATCAATTCTTCGATTTAACAATGGTTAAATGGCAAAGCTTGCAGTGAATTCAAAGGAGTTATAAGTGCTGTGAAATGTAAAATATTTAAAAATCCTTTGTCAAGAAAGTCTCCAGATGATGATAGTCATGATAGTTGCGCGTGGTGTCAGCAGGTGGATAGTCCACGAGGGATCTTATTAGATAAACAAGCCTTCTGTCGCTGCTTGCCTCTCTTTTGTCACTCCCTGAGGAGCAAGCAGTGGGAGGAACCGGCTCCTGCTTTCTGTTTTATTCTCATTTTATTGTTATTTTTTATACATATATCCTGCCATATAAACAAAGCTGTTACATACAGGGCTTTTATTGCCACTGCGCCTGTTATAAACGTATTGATATGAGGCATGTACTGACTACAAGCTCAAAGTGCAGAAGAAGGGTGGATATTGCAGAAAGTGGTTAATGAGTGTGTGTGTGTGTGTGTGTGTGTGTGTGTGTGTGTGTGTGTGTGTGTGTGTGTGTGTGTGTGTGTGTGTGAGACAATCAAACCGGTCTGTCTTGTCTAAGTGGTAGCAAATACTCAGTCATGACCCACAACACAATAGCTGAGAAGGAAAATTTCCATGCCACTTCAGGTTTCAGAGTATTGTCAGCATTTGAGAAGGTTCACTGGATGTAATTAATGATCACTTTACACCTTTACATGTGATTCTGGAGGTAAAAAAAAGAGAAAAGAGGAGTTTCTTGGTTGTCTTGATCACTTTGGTTATGGAGTGCTATTGTGTGTTTTAATTGGTTAAAATATGTTTGAAAAAATAGCATGTGTTCATTTTATTTTTTGACTTGGAGACGCTAATGGAAGCAAACATTTCAAAGGATTTAGTTATTCCCAATACTTATTGATGGCCAAATTTACTGTATATATTAGGGCTGCACAATATATCGTTTCAGCATCGATATCACAATGGGATCATTCACAGTAGTCACATCGCAAGTATAATGTTGAGTCTGAATTATCCTCCACATGCTTCGGCTTCACCCACAGTCCAAAGACATGCGCTATAGGTGAATTGAAAAAGCTAATTTGGCTGTAGTGTATGTTTGTGAATGTAAGAGTGTATGGGTGTTTCCCAGTACTTGGTTGCAGGTGAAAGGGCATCAGCTGTGAAAAACCTATGCTGGATAAGTTGGCAGTTCATTCCGCTGTGGTGACCCCTAATGAATAAATTAATTAAGCCAAAGCAAAGTGAATGAATGAGTCTGGTTTATAATTGATCATTTTGCAAGTGATTTGTGAGGCCTGTGATTGTGTGAGGTATTTAAAAGCATTGAGGCCTATGAAATTGTTCCATTTGTAACTTGTCAAATTAATAACGATACATTTTATTGAGCGGTTTATAAAACAAAGACTATGCAGTATTAATTTTCATTTGATTATTCAATTTGTGTTTACCTGAATACAGTTTGACGCCTCGGAAAACTAAAATGATGTGTAATTAGGTTGTATCTTCTTCTTTATTGAACTTATCGACACTTCTCGATTGTTAATTGTATTTTATGCACTCCCATACAGAATCATCCCAAATCAGTCTAAAATTATGATTTCTTTCCAAATGGTTCTTTAAGTCATTTAGTGAAATTGTATTCATATGGCGATATATAGCGCTGAATAAAACATACTGCAATATTAAATTCTTGCCATATCGTGGAGATATATTGTTTTAGAGATTTTGTTTATAAATGTTTTTAATATGTGAGGGAATTCTTATAATTTGCTTTATTTTCATTGGGTTATTTTTACAGACCGACAAATATTAAATGATGCAAAACCTATATAGACTTTTTTTTTTTTAAATCATAAAACAGAATAAAGCTGAATTATTGACGTAAAACAACAGAAAAACAGTTATTTTTAGTAGTTGCCAAGGACTTAAATATACATTTTCTTTTACTTTAACAAAAAAACCTAAATAAAACTGAAAAAAAAAAATATGCATATATAAAAACTAATAAAGTAAAGCAAAAACAGGGGCGGACTTAAGAAATTCCAGGTATGGGGGCCCTAGCATTAAAACTCAAACACTCTCTTTCTCTGTGGATAATTTTTTGCTCTGTAGATTCATTTTGTTTTTTAAATAAAGTGAATTCATTTATTAATTTTCCTTTAGCTTAGTCCCTTATTCATGAATAAATGAATATATGATAGAAAATGTATAAAAGAGCTACATGATTAATACAGGCTTCTTAGCATTGGTCAGGGCTAAGCATGGCATGATAACCAGTTTCAAGATTTACTGCAATTTGGAAAAGTCAAGGTTTTAAAATCGCCAAAATTTTCTGTTATACAGATCCTATGGTGTGTGTACAATTTTTCTAATGTGTTTTTTTATGTCTATATATATATATATATATATATATATATATATATATATATATATATATATATATATATTTTTAGGGCAACTGTATCCACATCAAAAGCTATTGGCCAGGCCACGATTCAGCAAATACCTGAAAAATAAATCTCTTATAAACCAACATGCAAGCATGCTATATCTGAACAGTGCAGTGGCATTACTTTGTATCCAAAGAAAATAAAAATATCCAAAGATGTTAAGAAATCTGTGTTTTTGAATCTAATGGAGACAGAAGAAGTCAATAAATAATAATAATAAAAAAATAAAATAAAATGACTAGTTAATAAGTAAAATATCTAATTTAATGTATTATTTCAGCTATCTATAGGAAGGTA